ATGGTTCCACCTCCTAACCATAACGCTGGAGGTTAGGATTTCAACATCGGAATTTATGTGAAAAGAGGGAGAACACAAGCATTCAAACTATTGCCTGTTATTTCCCTAAAACAGGGAATAGAAATTATTTTATGGTTTGTTTTTAGATTGAAAACTGTTGGTTGCTACAGTATAGTAACTTAAATGGTAGCGGTTTAGGAAGACAATTACAATTAGTGGAACATTAAAAGCTCAGTTGCAAGGTAGAAATAACTTTATTAAGTACTTATTCCCTAGCTTGAGAGTTCTTCTTTTTTTTTACTGTATTTTTTTAAGAGAAAAAAAAAGTTCTTCTTAAAAGAGGAATTGTACTAAGAGGATGGACCATCACCTATCAAAGACACCAAATAATTGGATTGGTTAGAGGCTCAAAATTTGGAACATCTGTGAATGAGGTTAATTTATAAAATGTCAACAAGTGACTATGTAAATAACAATGAAACCTCCTCCACACATGCTTTTCTTTTTTTTGTTTTTTTGTTTTTTTGTTTTTTTCTCCGGTACCGGGAACCAAACTCATGACCTTGCACTTGCCAGGCAGGAGCTTTTGCCGCTAAGCTCAATCCCCAGCCCCCTGCACACATGCTTTTCAACTGGGTGTTTTACCAATTTTTTTCTTCATCAGAGGAATCTTATACCTGGCTTTTTTATCTGTTAAAGTTTCCCTTTCATAGAGTTGTCTTTCTGTGAGTTTCACATATCTTTTGCATATGCAAACCTCTGAGTTCATCAATACATTCAGATTGATAAAGGACAAGTACTTCAAATTTGTCCTCTTCTGAGTTAAAGATACTGGTTTGATGGACTGACCATGACCCACTAAATCTTTTTGTTTTGGAAAGGAAAGAATATGGTAAAGTTTATTAATAAATATCATAATTAAGATTGTTTTATAGCCAGCCCAAATGCTGATAGAAAATCATTCAAACCATTAAAAGTGGAACATAAGTAGGAATAATGCTATATTTAATAGGAAAGGGAACTGTTGTTTTACTCTGTACATCAGAGTCTAGCAAAGAATCCAGCATCTGGTAGACATTCAAGTAATTGTTAAATGAATGAATTTCCTTTCATCAAATTTAATGCTTATGGTCAGGTATAAGAGTTACAGATATGAGGAAATAAGGGGATTTGAATAAAGTGAAACCATATATGAAATTCCAAGTCATGTAAATATTACATTAATACAAACATAGGTTGAAGGATTTTATTTTAAATGACATTTTATTACTAAAACAATAATCAACAATTCATATTTATGATTTATCTATTTTGTCACCATTGTATGGAGATAATAAAATGTTAACTGCTCATTTTAAATTTGTAAAGAAAGTTGTGTGCTGAAAATGCAAATCTTTGTCAAAGATGAACAGAAGAATTTTTAATAAATTTATATTTTTAAAAATACTCATGCTATATTTTAATGTACTTGTTAAAGCTCCCTATATACTATATTCTGGATTGTTAATAGAAGTATTTTTGAGTGACAGATATAATAGCTATTATTGTAGAGCTTTTCAGTTTACTAGTTTTGATCTAAATGTGAACTGTTGGACTAGTACATAGTTATTTTCACAAAATGCATAATCATGACTGCAAATTCTTCCATGACTAACTATACCCTGCCAGATGTTGCTTAGATTTTGCTGAGTCACCTTTTCCCCAGAACTCTGTGTTCCTACTAACTCCTAGTTCCTTCTGGCCTTATTATACACTTTGTCTTTTACCTGAATTTTAGAGGAAAAATTATTTCATTGTCCCCCTACTATTTTCATATATAAAACAGGTTTTTAAATTATTCTTAAATTTACCTAAGATAAGTCTTAACCTATCGCTTTCCAAGGAAGATAGACATTTTGAGAAATTTATTCTAAAAAGTCATTAAGCCTTTATACTAAGGAAATAAAACAGCCTCATCACATCATGTAAATTAGAGTACTCTAAATCACTGTAGACTGCTTTTTTAAAAAATGAAATCAATTCTAAAACTTCTGGTTAGATCTTCTCTCTGCAGGAAGGACCATTAATAACCTGATAGATACTTGGGGCCTGCCTTTGATTCAGATTCATGATGGATTTGCATTTTGCTAATAATCTGAGCATTATAGAACTCACTGACCAGCTCCAAGGCAGAAAAATTTCAGTGACAGATCTCACTGCTTGAACATCAATGAAAATATTTGGCTACATGCACAGTCTTATTAAGTTTTCATTGATTTAATAGTATTAAATGTGTACTATATACTGGTAATTGTGCAAAAGTTTGAAAGATGTAAAGAAAAAACCTCGTCGCTCTTCCCCCAAAGAACTCAAATAGGGAAGACTGACAGGAAATGCACATTTAAAATTAAGTAAAGTGCTTGATGAAATTTAGTTGGTAAAATTGGCAGCGAGTACTATAATAGTGCAGCGGAAGAGCTGAAATAGTGCCCCAGTCATTTTTAGACTCCTCATCAACCACATTTCATCACTAATTATGCAAAAGGAATTCAAATCTCCTACATGTCTCCATGCACGCATGTTTCAAAGAATCAACCGGATATTTCTGCCTAGAACAATGACTTCCTCAAACTGCAAGTGTCTTCTACAATAACTGCAGAACACTGTTGAATGCCTATGCATGGATAAATTAGACATTCAGTTAATGGATTTATGACCCACCCTACTTGTAATGCATTGGGAGTAGAAGAATGCATGTTCTAGTAGGGAAAGGCCCTGGAGCCCGATCTTCAGTGTATAGTTAGGGGACCTAGTACACTCAGACCAGCTGGCCTCAGGATTCCCATTTGAAAATGATGTCTGTTCCATCCTCTCCAACACAGTACATTCTAAGATCTAATCAGAAAAGACTGGTCAGGCCAGTGTGGTTATCATGATAGCTCAATAACTTTTCAAATTTCTCAGAACCTCCAAGATTTATAACAGCTTAACTTTACTGAAGGGAGTAAAAATTATTGTGCGAGGGTAGGTAATAAAACAGATTATTAGTTCCTGTGCAGTAAATATCAACAGTAACATTTTAAGAATGTACTTTTAGTGGTGCCAAAAAGCAGGTGATCTGTAAATTGTCTGGCTACAATCTAATCAGCCAGGGAAAATCTTTGCTGTGAAACATTACTTACTATGGCCGGTTTTCTTCCTTCTCTTCTGGAAAATAGTAATAATTTTGGCATTTTTCAAGATTGGAGCATATCATTCCTATTTACTCAAAAACCTATGCAAATACCCAGAAAATTCCTTCTTTCTCTATCTGACAGTTTTGAAATATTTATCTAATTTATCAACACATATGGCACTTTTTATGTCATATATTTTTCTCATTAAACTACCTATCTTGACATCGCTTAAAGGCCTCTCTATAGAATTTCAAGACAGTCATGGGAATAACTGCAAAATGCAACAATGGTTTCTTGGGACTCAGAACGTGGGATTGAAGTATAACAATTTCTCTTTAAATATCTTCAACTCCAAAAGGTAGAGCATGGCATCCCGGGTGGGGCTGAAGCTCTATTAGGGGAAAATGACTCAGGCCAGAGGCTGAAAAAAACGACTGTAGGCTAAGTTTTGCAAATCTAAACTTTGTGGGTTTTACAGCTGGAAAGGAGCTCGGAGAGGAAACCAGAAGTTTTCTGCTTCTAGGAAAGACTGCAAGGGCTAAAGCTGATCTACTGTCTCAGCTCAGCAAAGGGAGAAGATCAAAATTTTGTCAAGTTTACGTCATTTAAAACAAATTTTTATAATGCTGTCGCTTAGAAGGCTATACGAAAATGTAGCTCACAAGCTACAAAGTTGTGAGTTCACAAGCTCCTCTTTGCTCTGAGACCTCTGTAGTCCTGTCTTGAGATAAGAGGTTGTATAAACGCCGCACAATAGGGTGATTCCTAACATTCTCAAGCCTGACACCTTTACAGGAAAGCCCAGAGGGGGAAGCCAGAAAAAATTCAGAAAAACCAAAGCTTAGTATTGTGTACACAGCGGCTCAGTGGTACAGGCGTCCTCATTCTGTGTAGAGTTCTGGGTTCAATAATTCTTAGTGTTTACGGCGGGTGGGTGTCAGTAGCCTGAAAGCCGATTATAGCTTTCAATTTCGTTTTTGTTTTTTGTGCACTTGGACGGAACTCACGCAATCCCACAGATCTCTTTTTCAATGTGAGAACCATCCTTTCTGGGAACCACGGAGCTGCAGATGTCACCCTGGAATTCTCCCAGAGGCAATCCGCCAGGCTGCAGGCTGCTGTTCCTCAGCTACTATCCGGAGGTGGACCGGGTGGCGCCTGTGCCAACTGGCCTTCAGACCTGTGGCCAAGGGCCATTTATATCCATGACAGACACCTGCATTTGCACCACCCTTGTGAGACAGGCGGGTCAGGCGGCCGTGCACCTTGGGGGAGAAAAGGACACCGTGGCTGCGAGAGGACCGTGCTCGCCACCGCGCTCGTCCGCCCTTGTAGAGCCTCAGCCCCTCGCTGCCCGAGCGGAGCCCAGATCCCACTTTCTACTAAACACTGTAAATGCTGCCACTCCACCGGCCCAGCCAGCACCATCGCCAAATGCAAGGGAAGGATCCTTTTCCTCCAACTCAAGAATTCTCTCCAGCGCGTCCTCTCCTTTTTCACCCCCTTAAACCTGCGGGCCACCCAGGATAGACGTCGTGGGAGTGCAGCGAGAGCCACATCCCGGTCCCGAGGAACCCGGACCCGCCTGCCCCCTAGGCGAGCGCGGCGCTCAGCAGCGGCGTGACTGAATCACGGGTGAGTCAGCCCTCGCGGGTCCCGGCGTTTCCTACTGAGGGGGCGGGGCTTCGCCAGGACCGTCCGCCGCAAGGGCGGGGACCGAGCGATGACGCGGGGCGGGGGGCGGG